TCAAGCCCAGGGAAGGGCTGCATTTGCCGAGGCGGTGAGGCTGTGTGGGGCAGGAGGGTTGCTATAGCCTGCAGCCCAAACACTGCTCACAGCGGAACCAGGGAAGGAGGCAAAGGCAGGGGAAGGCTGTCTTTCAGGAACTGCAGAGGAGCCGCTGCTTGCTGGCCAGAGACCCCAGGAGCCCGGAGACGGACACCAGTGCCAGGGAGCATCCACAGACCACGTGCAGGGACACAGACAGTCCCGCTCCCTGAGATACCCCGCCAGGGGCAGTGCACACAGGATCCCCAGTACACCATGTGCAAGTGAGAGACTGTGTAAATAAGTTCTCGAGGGTTTATTAGACAGTATATCCATGTGCTTATTTAATGATTATTTATTATGATGTAAATAATTAAATCTTGTAAATAGTTTGAGAACTGTCTGCAAGGGTGCTTGATTGTACAGGGAGGCTCTCTGCTCGGGGCACTGCACCAGCTTCCCAGGGGGGCTGGGCAGGGCGACTGGCTCCCGGGTACCCCAGGATCCCATTATTCAGGTGAGGGCGCATGTAGTGTCGCGCCCAGGGTTACATATGAATATGATATACTGAAGCTCGAGGACACGGCACTATGCCTACCAACACCACCAAATATGTTGGTACCAAGAGGTTACTGCATAATGGCACCAATATTTCATTATGCCGATTTTTTCCTGTTAAAATGTCCTGTTTCCAGCAACAATAGAAAATAACTCATAGGCACTGGATTTAATCTGTGCATGTTTTACTTATACGTTTCGCAGTCCTGGCTCAATCAAAAGAAACAAAAACTCTTTAAAAAATAAAACTCTTAATTTTTTTTTTTTTTTTTGCAAATTCTTGTTGGTCTAATACAGGTATCATCTCTACTACAAGTCCTGATTGCCTTTTAAAAAAATAGCCCTTCCAACTACAAAGTTCAGCTTGCTAAAGCAACATTATACTTTTCACAAAATCTTCTAGATATCTCACTAAATTGCAACTCAGATATTGATCAAGCTCATAATTAAAAAAATTAAGTGGGCTAAGGGGCTCTAAGCACTTTGCAAAGGTACCTGCAAGACAAATGAATTGTATATTTCTTGTCTCACTGTGCTTGACAATGCAGTGCTCTCATTCTAATGCACTGGGATTATGCTGAAATGATAGCATATTTATTTATATATAAATAAATAAATAAAAGGAGTGCCTCCAAATTACTGCTTGCATAAAGAAGAGGAAACTCATGCCAATGATGTGGAGCTACTGGATCTGTGGAGATCTACAAGGTCAGTAGCTTAATGAAAGCATCCTGATAGAGTGCTGTTAGACATCACCTGTATTGCTGTTTAGCTCAAAGAAACAGAAAATGAAACCCCTTCCACTGAAAATGGCTTTTACAGGGACACATGTTTTCCAACACCTCAAGCTGCTGCACTTTGTGATGCCTACATGCCAACACTGGCACTTCCAAGTAATGACAGCCTCACATTTAGGCGAGCAGCTATATCTACACTGTGCACTTGGCACAGCTGTTAATGTTTTTTCCCCTCCAGCACACACTTGCTCCAATGGATTCACCCCCATTCCTATCCCCAGACTGGAGAGAAATGGTATGGTTCAGTCACCTCCATTAACCCACATTCATAGATTGTTAGGGGCTGGAAGGGCACCCACAGATCATTGGGTCCAGTCCCCCAAACAAATACCACCCTTTCCCCTCTTAGGACTCCAAGCAAGATGCTGCACAAGGAGCTACATGTGGAGAGGAGCTGGTTCTGGCTCTACTGGGACTCATGAATGCCCCAAAGCAGGGCAGGTAAAGTGGTAAGAGCATCCCACTGCCAGCCCCACAGAGGTTTCCCTGGAAAGTTAATACAACCTAGGCAGGTAGTATCCATCCTTGGTAGGACTGAGACTCCCCAGCATACAGGCCACCACAGCCAGGAGAGCTCTACTGGAACAACGGTACAGGGAGTGGGACATCCCCAAGTCACTGAAGCAGCCAAAGGCATGGGGCTTGGAGGGCAGATTGTCTGAGAAGCCAGCCTCACTCTCTCAGGGGAGCTACCAGGGAAGAAATCTGTAGAGGTTTCTTTGCTTAGTCCCTTTGGTTGCTGATCCCCCTTTCCTTTGCCAGCTCCTCCTCCAAGTTTTGCCCAGGGCAGAGTAAAACTCAGGCCCCATATCATCAGCTCTGTACAATTAATTGTATCCTTTCAATTAAACGAAATGTATTTTTAAAGTCTCAGGAGACAGTCCAGGCTGACACACTGGCTGGGCCCACAATTTCCTATCAGGGAGTTTACAGTGAAACAAAGAAACAGGAGTAAGGTACTAAGGTGCTGTAGTGATGGTGCCTGAAAAGAAGCCATCCCCATTTCTGTATCTCCTTCAGGCTTCTATAACTTTACAAAGAACTAATATCTTTGGGTAGAAATCCCTTAGCATAAGACCACATTTGCAAGAGCCCGGCAGGACAAATTATGCTGAGGGGAAACCAGCACGGGTTCGTGCCAGGCAGATCGTGCCTGACCAATCTAGTCTCTTTTTATGACCAGGTTACGAAACACCTGGACACAGGAGGAGGGGTGGATGTCGTATACTTAGACTTCAGGAAGGCCTTCGATACGGTATCCCACCCCATACTGGTGAACAAGTTAAGGGGCTGTGACTTGGATGACTACACAGTCTGGTGGGTGGCAAATTGGCTGGAGGGTCGCACCCAGAGAGTCATGGTGGATGGGTCGGTTTCGACCTGGAAGGGTGTGGGAAGTGGGGTCCCGCAGGGCTCGGTCCTTGGACCGATACTCTTTAATGTCTTCATCAGCGACTTGGACGAGGGAGTGAAATGTACTCTGTCCAAGTTTGCAGATGACACAAAGCTATGGGGAGAAGTGGACACGCCGGAGGGCAGGGAACAGCTGCAAGCAGACCTGGACAGGTTGAACAAGTGGGCAGAAAACAACAGAATGCAGTTCAACAAGGAGAAATGCAAAGTGCTGCACCTAGGGAGGAAAAATGTCCAGCACACCTATAGCCTAGGGAATGACCTGCTGGGTGGCACGGAAGCGGAAAGGGATCTTGGAGTCCTAATGGACTCCAAGATGAACATGAGTTGGCAGTGTGACGAAGCCATCA